TGAACTTGCTTATTTTCATTTAATTTTGTATTACATTTTTCCTAAAACAAGATAGTTTCAACATTAAACTAGGCTTTCCCTTTAACCTGCATTTGACTAACTGCTAAATCCTCCTTCGCTCTTATAACTCGATCGACCATATGGGGTTAGGCTCCAGTGTGAGAGACTGTGTCAACGGTGGCCGGAAAATGGAAACGGATTATAGATGCCTTCGGCGGGGTGGCTGCCTCTGTGGATTGTGGGTGTGTTTCCATGGCGGGAAATGGGCAGGCAGGCAGACAGGCAGGCTGAGTGCAGTGCTCATCTTCCCGCATCGTCCCACGGAGCCGAGAACCACGACAATAATGCTGATGCTGATGATGCTGTGGGGCACCGCTTCCAGGAGGGGACCAGGCACTGGTACTACTGGTGGGCATTGTCTGGGACATGACATGAGAATTAGGCACCCAGGCGCACTCGAGTCGGAAGAGCAAAGTCTGCCTGCCAGGCTGTGCCAAATATAAGGAAAGACAAAGTCTCTGAAAAGGCACTAAGAAAAATCTTTAAAATTTAATCAAATATATATTTAAAAAAGAAAGAAAACTTATTTCGAGAAGCTAAAGTTATTATAACCTTGCAGTTTGCAATTAAATTATGGGATCGAATCGGAAATCTATCATAACATTTTAGGAATTTATGTTTTTCTAGGACAATTTTTTCAACAAATGAAAGTTTAAAATACTCATAACTGAGCTAAAAATGTATTAATTTTAATTCGGAAAACTGCCTTATGTTAGTATTTATCAGGTTAATAAATCTGCATACTCATTCGCCTGTTGTTGCTGACCAAGAATATATATGATTTATAGGGTCGGAAATGATTCCTTCACAGCTTTACAAGCTGCTGACTAAAAATAAAATACCATTGAAAGGTCTAAAAATGGGAAATAATAGTTAACAAATATATACAAATTTATCATTTAATATTTAAAAAATTAAATAAAGCAAATTTAGATAGGTTCTTAGAGAGCTTTTTAAATTCCAATCATTTTCTATAATATAAAACCGAGTCTGAGAATTAATTTTTACAAAGCAAACCTCTAACTTCAAATGAAATAAAATTATTTAAATTAAACTTAAATAAAAGACCCACAATTTTTGTAACAGTGTGCTCTATGGCTTGCCATTTGCTACTCGCGAGCCTCAAAATGTGTATTGGGGTAACGTTCATCACGTTTGTCGATGCAATTTCACAGATAACTGTTTTTCCATGTTTACCACCGCTGTGTGGATGAGGTTAGGGGTTTTTGTAGGGGGGAAGCTGCCTGCGATTGCATAATCCACCAGCCACCAGCTTGGAAAACAATGCAAGCTCTTTTAAAATGCCGCAATTATCCCCAGCAAAACCAGAAAGAAAAACCTCAACACAAAAAAATGCCAAAAACTAACAGAAAGATTTTTGTTTTTATTTTTCTACATTTTGTGTTTTTTTTTTTTTTTTTGTTTTGTTTTAGTTTTTGTTTTGTGGGTCACAGCAGCCAAGACGTCTGCGGTTTTGTAGAATTTAATTATTTCTCACTTGTCACTTGATTTTTAGGTATATTTAGTTAGTTGTTACCTCTTTCTTACATATATTTATGTTATATTTTTAACACAACAATACTATATAAATATAGATATATGCATATAGATATTTATGTAATATTTTAAATATTTTCTAGAGAACTCTTAACTGCCAAAAAACGCTGTATTAATTTATTATTTGTATTGTAAATTTTAAACAAATCTGTTTTAAAAACACAATTTCAGCTTAAGCAAATAGTTACCATATAATACATATTATTATATGTATAAATACTCCCTTATTATAGGGTATTTTGGGGTGCCTCTATTTTAGCCTGAATTTTTTCTAAACTTTTATGTCGTTGCCATTTAGCTGTGGCATTTCAATTGCAATTTGATTTTTTATTTGTTTTGCCTGTCATTTTGGTTTTTATTTTCAAGTTTTCTTACGTTTTTTCTTACTTTTTTTACGTTAACATTTTTTCTTCTTACTTTGCCATTTGTGGGCTTGTTATGACATTTTTTGGAGTGCCATTTGAGTGATTGTCTGGCATTTGTGGCTGTCCTCAGCTTTGTTTGTTTGTTTATTAACAAATTACAATTTTTATTGCAGATACCATCGGTGGGTGGCTGTGGCAACATTTGAATATTTCAAATATCAAAGTCTGAGTTATTTACTTCTACATGCTGGTAAGTCTTCAATATATTATATAGATATATATATATATATATATAACATAAGTTATGCAACATTTCCCTTTCCCCATAACTCTGTGGGGTTCAAGTCAACAAAACGTAAATAGTTTAAATGTCACGACGGAACAAGAGAAACTACAAATATTTATATGCATTTTGCATAAATTGTGCCATTGTCATGTTTGAATATTTTCTTTTTTCTTCATTTGACTTGACTTTCCCACCAAATGCACATTTGACAAATGCAATATAGTGTGTTTTTTTCTTTCTTTCGTTTTGAGCCAAACAAAAGGCCGTATTCGAAATCACGTACAAATATTTTTGGACTTTAATTTGCCGCCAGTAGAAAGCTTAATGTTAATGAACCAGAAAGCCGCAACAAAAACTGTCGTCCGTCCACTAAGTGAATATTAAAAAAATATATATACATATATAAACTCTCATGTGTGGAAAAACTAAACAAAAAACAAAAACTAAAATGCACAAATCAGCCAAAGAGACAATGCACTTTGCATGTGAATTAATGAAAGCGAAAGATTAATTTAAATGGACATTGAGTGTTCACAAAAGCCTTGAAAGATGGTAATTAATTAATAGATTAAACACTGTTTTCTTTGCTTAGGAAATGTAGAAATAAACAAAAAAATAATCAAATTAATTTATGTGATTTATAAAATCATATATTTATTGCTATTTATGACTTCCCTTAGGAGTTTCTAATCAAAGTTTATGATATTTATTTTGAATCTTGCTCAAAACAAAGCTTTTACTTCACCAATAATTATAATTTCTATTTATAATTTACTTTTTCACCATAAATATTTATATTAACATATAAAAACCCCCTTGGCAACTAAATTTCGAACTCGAAATCACTTTCATAGGCATTAGGCCCAAAATGTGATTACCTTTCCGATGGCTAAACCCACTAATGAAGCTAATTTATTAGGCAAATTTACGACAAGTGTCTTCCTGAGCAGGTAACCAAAAAAAGAAATATCCAGGTAAACCCATCAAGAGAACTCAACTCGATTGTGTTTAACCAGCAGCCTCTTTAACTTTCCTCGCATGTCTGCTCAATTATTTGTATTTCTTTTCATTCAATTGCATTTTAACCTTCAGCATTTCTCAATGGAGGAGATATTGTGCAAAAAAATACAAATAAAAACTATCTACAAATGAAAAGAGATACCTGTCCGTGTGGATGTGGATGGCATTTTTGATTGACATCGAGTGAATCGTTGCACTTGAAAAAAATAGCACAAAGAAAATGAATTTCACATAACTTTTACACTACTAGAAGGAAATAAAATGGGGTTAAGGAATAATATATTTTTGAGGTTTAAGAAAATATTTAGGAAACTAGAGATATTTGTATTATAATCTCCGTAATGGGGTTATGGTATATCTCCTCTTTATTCTAGAATAAATTGTTATTTTTAAGTAAGAAATATATTTTGCTTTAAAAGAATATTTTAAAAACTGATTCTATAAAAGATATACTTTCTATTTACCTTTTTATATTTCAATTTATTAAATTATTATTCTTCTTTGAGAAATCAATGACTGAATTTATTTTAGATTCTTCACTTTTCAATTCTCTCTTTTTGTTTAAAGTGCAACGACAATGTCTCTCTGCCTCTCCATGATATGGGAGTTTTTCTGATACTTTATTTTTTATTTTTAGTTTTGCTTCTCCTTTTTGTTTGGCATTGGTGAAAGTTGTTGCCTGTCAACTTAAACATTTGAATGTTTAATTGTTAATTGTATTTCGTTTGCATTTCGCTTGCCGACACACGGCTGCTGGGTGGCATAGCTTTTGACCTTTTGGGCAAACGTCCTTCAGATGTGTGCCATTCAGGTGAGATATGAGATATAGGCGCGGGAGGGGGGATGAGAGGGTAACCCGACCCCCAACCAGTGGGACCGGGACGAGTCTGCCTTTCTCCTTTTTCGAATCTCTCAACCGAAATGTTCGCTGGTCTTTTGTTGCCATTTTTGGCATGATTATGCCAACATGCGAAATCGACTGACTCTTTCGGAGAGACACCAACATAAAATAGTATATGGAAAACAAACAAACGTGATCGAAAATAAAGAAAAACCAGATACCCGAAAAAAGTAGCTGGTGTGGGGGATAAAAGAAAAAAAAAGATAGAAACTAATATCTATCGAGACAATTTCACTTTTCATTGTCTTGTCAACAAGCTCAGAGGTGGCCTGGGGGGCACTAGAGGGTTAAGGTGTCTCCAACGGGGGGTTTTTCTTTCTTTGGGAATTTTTTTTTTTTGTCACAGCAAGTCCTGGACAAAAATCGGTAAAAATCGGCGATTGCCAAAGTTGTCTGTGCCTAGGATCGACTTTTAAAGCCAATCAACTTTCGAAATCAAAGGGGGTTCAATTCGGTCTCCTCTGGAGGCCACTTTAAATTGATTTTTAAGGAAAAAACGAAACTATAGAAATAAAACCTGCACTTCAAACTAGGGTTTATACAGGACAAGGAAGAAAGTTGGCAGACCAAATTTGTGGCATAATACAAATTACAATTTACAAAAATTAATGTTGTTGCAGTATTTATCTGTAGACACTATATTATCTAGAGTAATACAAAAACAATATCTTTAAAAATAATGAATGAATGAGTAATTATACAGCAAAGTTTGGGGCTTTAAGTTTTGGCTTCGGACCTTGCTTAAATTTTTCAAATTTTAAAAATTGTATGTTCTAAGTATCACAGGAATCATTGTCATTATTTCTGGACCTTTCAAACGAACAGAACACATTTGTTATTCAAAAGCTAGTCTTTGAACAAAACAAGTCGTGTGCAAACAGCTCCCATTATTTATAGGAATATTTTTCCAAAATATCAGTACTTTTATTATAAAGAAAAAGTTGTATTTTTTCAAAAATAATTTTAAATGAACTCAAATCAAGTTCAATTCAGTCGGCATTCTTCATAAACACAAACTACAAAATTTTGAGTAAGTTTTTACGGCAAGTTATCAGTTCCCATTATTAACAAAAGCATTCCCTTCCAAGATTTTCCTACCAAAGAAAATTCATGTAAGCCACTAAATCGAAGCAAATTGATTATCCTTTGCCATGTCTTCAATCAGTACTGAAGGAGAAGACTACTTTCCCAGTGAAGAGTCGTCAGACACAGGTCAAGACTATGGGGCTGTGTCACTGGTTCCAGATCTGGGATTGGAGGAAATTTATATGAGAGATTCCTATTCTATTCGCTCAGACACATCGATAGTACAAAGCGAGGTCAGCATAGACGAGGGTTACTATGCCAGACAAGCCTTGAACAGCTTATTCGCAGACTTTGTGGAAGATGCCAAACAGATAACGCGGTCGGCCTTTGAGGATTCCATTCGGGAACGGAGCGGCTGTCAGGATCTGCGGAATATCCTGCTGCTGATCACGCCCCTTGAGCTGCCCAACCTGAAGCCAGAGGAACGCAAGGTGCACTGCTATTGCCTGGACACTCGCAGGCACCAGGGGGTTATCACGGTGACCCTGGAGGAAGTCCACCTGATCAAACGCTATCACGGACCTGCGAAAACCTACACGGTTGTGCACTGCTCCAAGCACATCCAGCTCGCTGATGCAGCCGGGAACACGCCCATCCGGTGCCTGATATTCGATGTAGTCCGAGAAGCCTCCAAGGTGGCGCGCATGGCCTGGTACAAGGGTAACGAGGTGAGGGTTTCATATTGTGGCAATGGATCAAAGCGCCCGGTCCCTTCAAAACGTGAGTCCTCGGGCATCCCATCCCTGCGGCAGCCCAAAATCCCGGTGCGGATGCAGAGTCCCATATCCAGTAAGGCGAAGAATGCCCAAAATAATCCTCCCAACCAGAAGGCTAACCCCAAGACTGAAGCCAAAGTTGGACAGAGAAATATGGATGGAAAAAACAACCGGAGCAAGCAACAGCGATCTAACCAACCGAAAATTAACACACAGAAACCGACCCAAGTCCCCAAAAAGACTGTCAAGACAGACAGACGGACCCCAGTGGTGGAGTCAAGTCGTCCGAAGAAGCCTAATCCCACCAAAGCCAAGTTATCCGATTCAGCTCCTATAAGTTCTACTGTAGAGGCAAGTCTGGAGGAACAGTTGCCAGAACTTGACCTTGGGCAGTCCCCCCAAATGATTGATCAACTGGATGATTGCATAACCACGGTCGAAGAAGCTATAAAAGGGCTACAGCAGGGTAGACCCGATGTCGAGGAGGTGCCTCTTCCTGACCGCCTTGACTCATCGACCCTCTTTGGCCGCCGGATGGAACCTCCCGTGCTTCCTCTTAGCTTTTCAAGCGCCGCCTTTTCTTTCCTCGAAGGCAAGCTGCGTTGGCCCAGTGCCAGGAAGGCCTTCTTGAAGCTAAAACGCCTTGTTAACAAGATTAACAAACAGCCCTGTCCACGAGGGGATCACTTACTTCGCTTTTTCCATATGGCACAGGATCTGGACTTCAAGATGTATATTCGTAGGGAAATTGACTTTCCGGGCTGGTCCTCAAAACAAGGTCGGCGGTACGTGGTCGACTGCTATGTGTTTGATGATCGTCGGGAATACATAGCTTCCATTTCCCTGCTGGACACCCAGCTCCATGCACTCGCCAGACTCTTTCCCAGGGCGCAGAGGAACTTTCGACTTATAGATAACGCCTTTGAGCTAACCCCCATGCCAAAGAGTTTGACCAAAATGCTGAAAGCCACTCTGAATGTTTTCCATGCCCAGCGTTTGTTCAAGTATTTGGGACAGTTAACCCTGGGCTTTGCTCGCTCACCGGGTGCAGTATTCGAACTTCCCGATGATCAGGAAACCTAGGAATCTGAAGCTACGTTTTAATAATACTTGAATACCGCATTTCGTAATTATGTTAGATTTTCATAATTACATAGAGTAATATATAAAATACAACGAAACAGTTGCTAAGGGAATGTAATATCTTGATTATTTATTTTCTTTAATCTTTGCTTTAATCAATTCCTGCCCTAATGCGTATCTTTCGCTATTAATTAATTGATTACTTTCTGAGCTCCCGTTAAAAGCCCAGTGAACATGTCAAAGTGACAAAATATATGGCTTGTTGGCCAAATTTGAACCGTTGCGACGTGGGCGAGGCAGCTCGTGAGGTTTACTTGGGTTCAGTTTGGGCTAGCCGGCAATTACAGTTAGTTTGTTGGCCTGGCTTTATGCAAATTGCGTGCATGACAGCGGCTTGGACTGGCCGATTGATTGACCGATTGGAAAGGTGTGCGCATGCGCACGCACTCGGTACACTTGGAGAACCGGGGGGAACTGCCTTCGCCAGCTATTAACCTTGATTTGCGAGCGAGCCAATAAGCGAGACAAAGAAATAATGCGGAGCTCAAATGAAAATAAATAACGCCAGCCACCGGAGACCGGAGACCGTGCCGAGTCGTGCAAATGAAGTCATTTCGAGTACGCGCCAAGCCGCCATTCAATTGAGGGCAAGAGCTTAACGAAAATAGGTACAAATTGTGTGTATATGTATCGGGTTTTAAAATATATCCCCACTCCTATGCCCTTCTCGGAGCCAAACCAGTTAAATATTTCAAAACATTACAGAATAAATGTATGAAAGCAAGTAGAACGAGCATTTTCGAAAATGCAATACCCTTGCAGCGAAAATTTATCATAACTAAGTCAAAAATGCATTAATTTCTAATCGGAAAACGGTTTAATACTAGTTTTTATGAATAACAAATCTGCATACTTTATTTAAAATCTAAAAAATTAAATTTTTTCTTGCATTTTTAAACGATGTTATCCCTTATAAAATTTTGAAAAAATGTGTACATTTTTTTTTCTGTCGGAGATGGCTTGATCAACTCGGCTGATGATGCTGATCAAGAATATATATGATTTATGGGGTGGGAAATGACTCGTTCTGAAATTATAATACCTTATGATGGTATAAAACCATCCAATACCCAAAAACAAAGTTTACATTTTCACAGCACTTGTATTTTATATATTACTCTATGTAATCATGAAAATCTAGCATAATTACGAAATGCAGTATTCAAGAATTATTAAAACGTAGCTTCAGATTCCTAGGTTTCCTGATCATCGGGAAGATCGAATACTGCACCCGGTGAGCGAGCAAAGCCCAGGGTTAACTGTCCCAAGTACTTGAACAAACGCTGGGCATGGAAAACATTCAGAGTGGCTTTCAGCATTTTGGTCAGTCTCTTTGGCATGGGGGTTAGCTCAAAGGCGTTATCTATAAGTCGAAAGTTCCTCTGCGCCCTGGGAAAGAGTCTGGCGAGTGCATGGAGCTGGGTGTCCAGCAGGGAAATGGAAGCTATGTATTCCCGACGATCATCAAACACATAGCAGTCGACCACGTACCGCCGACCTTGTTTTGAGGACCAGCCCGGAAAGTCAATTTCCCTACGAATATACATCTTGAAGTCCAGATCCTGTGCCATATGGAAAAAGCGAAGTAAGTGATCCCCTCGTGGACAGGGCTGTTTGTTAATCTTGTTAACAAGGCGTTTTAGCTTCAAGAAGGCCTTCCTGGCACTGGGCCAACGCAGCTTCCCTTCGAGGAAAGAAAAGGCGGCGCTTGAAAAGCTAGGAGGAAGCACGGGAGGTTCCATCCGGCGGCCAAAGAGGGTCGATGAGTCAAGGCGGTCAGGAAGAGGCACCTCCTCGACATCGGGTCTACCCTGCTGTAGCCCTTTTATAGCTTCTTCGACCGTGGTTATGCAATCATCCAGTTGATCAATCATTTGGGGGGACTGCCCAAGGTCAAGTTCTGGCAACTGTTCCTCCAGACTTGCCTCTACAGTAGAACTTATAGGAGCTGAATCGGATAACTTGGCTTTGGTGGGATTAGGCTTCTTCGGACGACTTGACTCCACCACTGGGGTCCGTCTGTCTGTCTTGACAGTCTTTTTGGGGACTTGGGTCGGTTTCTGTGTGTTAATTTTCGGTTGGTTAGATCGCTGTTGCTTGCTCCGGTTGTTTTTTCCATCCATATTTCTCTGTCCAACTTTGGCTTCAGTTTTAGGGTTAGCCTTCTGGTTGGGAGGATTATTTTGGGCATTCTTCGCCTTACTGGATATGGGACTCTGCATCCGCACCGGGATTTTGGGCTGCCGCAGGGATGGGATGCCCGAGGACTCACGTTTTGAAGGGACCGGGCGCTTTGATCCATTGCCACAATATGAAACCCTCACCTCGTTACCCTTGTACCAGGCCATGCGCGCCACCTTGGAGGCTTCTCGGACTACATCGAATATCAGGCACCGGATGGGCGTGTTCCCGGCTGCATCAGCGAGCTGGATGTGCTTGGAGCAGTGCACAACCGTGTAGGTTTTCGCAGGTCCGTGATAGCGTTTGATCAGGTGGACTTCCTCCAGGGTCACCGTGATAACCCCCTGGTGCCTGCGAGTGTCCAGGCAATAGCAGTGCACCTTGCGTTCCTCTGGCTTCAGGTTGGGCAGCTCAAGGGGCGTGATCAGCAGCAGGATATTCCGCAGATCCTGACAGCCGCTCCGTTCCCGAATGGAATCCTCAAAGGCCGACCGCGTTATCTGTTTGGCATCTTCCACAAAGTCTGCGAATAAGCTGTTCAAGGCTTGTCTGGCATAGTAACCCTCGTCTATGCTGACCTCGCTTTGTACTATCGATGTGTCTGAGCGAATAGAATAGGAATCTCTCATATAAATTTCCTCCAATCCCAGATCTGGAACCAGTGACACAGCCCCATAGTCTTGACCTGTGTCTGACGACTCTTCACTGGGAAAGTAGTCTTCTCCTTCAGTACTGATTGAAGACATGGCAAAGGATAATCAATTTGCTTCGATTTAGTGGCTTACATGAATTTTCTTTGGTAGGAATATCTTGGAAGGGAATGCCTTTGTTAATAATGGGAACTGATAACTTGCCGTAAAAGCTTACTCCAAATTTTGTAGTTTGTGTTTATGAAGAGTTCCGACTGAATTGAACTTGGTTTATGAGTTCATTTAAAATTATTTTTGAAAAAATACAACTTTTTGTTTATAATAAAAGTACTGATATTTTGGAAAAATATTCCTATAAATAATGGGAGCTGTTTGCACACGACTTGTTTTGTTCAAAGACTAGCTTTTGAATAACAAATGTGTTTTGTTCGTTTGAAAGGTCCAGAAATAATGACAATGATTCCTGAGATACATAGTTTTTTTAATTTCGATGAGTTTACTAAAAGTACTTTTGTTAATGCTATTATTACCAAGAATCTTTCAATTAAGAATGGCATAAATTTGTATTCTGTATAATATTAAACTTTCCTCTTTATAATTATACATTTTATTAAATTCTATATACATACACTTTGCTATTGGTTTATTTTTAAAGTGCTGACCTCAATTTAATGCTTTTGTTGCGGGGTTTCTTTTTATGTGTTGTATTTTTTGTACATTATATTTATTCCCGCATCTCTGAGCAGCGCAAAGATATTTTAATTATCCCACAAAGCCGAAAAAAAAGAAGCTACAATTTTATAAACCGGCTCAAAATCCTGCCATGACATCAGCCATATAACCAATAACCATCATCATCATCACCATTATTGGCATCAATTTCTAAGCAAGAATACAAAATTAAATACATGCTTTTAGTTGCGTGAATGCCGCTGGCGGGGTTTTATTTTTTATATATTTATTCTTATTTTGTTTGCTACTTTTTTTCAAAGATTCTTTCAAACCGTGCGAAGAGTATTAAATCGTCTTAATTTTTGATGACTTGTGAAGACATAAACACAAGTGCCGAGGGTCGACAGAGCAGGTTGAATTCCAAGCATAAAAATAGTTGTAAATAAATATAGAATTGAATAAATAAATATAAATAAAATAGGTACATATAAATACATGTATGTAATGGCTCTATATATTCCTATATATCATTTATTTAGAACAATAACTCTTGATCTCTGGTGAAATATAAAAGACTCTCGTCTTGACCCTCTTGCGGAAGTTTCTTTCACCTTTTGCCAAAGTGTTCTTGCCACACACACACATCACACCCCATGCTGGTCATGTGTGTATGCCCGGCATGGCATTCTGTGGTATCATCTACCCATTGTTGGAACTCCAGACTCTTTCTCTTCCCACTCGATGGTGGCTTCCTTGTCTTGGAGCCACGCTATCTTCTGTCGCCGCCGCTGGAGATGCCGTGGCTTCCAGCACCGCCGCCAGAGAAATGGGGATAGGGAATAGGGGACAGGGGATTGGGGATGGGGGATGGGGGATTGGGGACTTGGCTTTTGTCAATTCATTGTCAACAAGTCAGTGAACTTGTGTGTGCCCACCTGAGAAAAAAAAGTAGTAGTAAAGGGGGGGAAAAAAAGCAGACACACACTCAAAGAGAAAAAGAGGGGGGCAGGGCAGAGACCCAGCAACCCAAAACCCTCTGAGCGGGGCTGGTGTGGCTTTTTCTTTTAAAAATAATTAACATAAATTAATAGGAAATGAGTGGAAGCAGCACATGGCGGCGGAGCAACAACAGTTACAGCAAAAATATAAAAAAATAAATATAAACGAGCAAGGAGAAAGGCGAAGAATGAAATACTCTAAATACTATAGAGAAAGAACAGTAAAGTTAACAAGTATTTTAGGTAAAAAGGTATTCAATTAGTTTTCTATGTATTTTGGTTACTAAAAAATATAATAACGCTTTTAATTGTTAGTTTTTTAACTTAGAGAAGTCAGATTTTGAACTGCTTTGCATTTTGGCTCTTGAAAGTCTTGCTATTTCATTATTATTTCCACAAAAACTTAGTTTTTAATTAAGCTGGTGTAAAAACTACTGGCTTAAAAGCAATCCCCTTAAAAATCTTAAAGGAAAGTATACATATTATTTTGTACAAATTTCTTTAAGAAATTATTTAAATTACTTGTAATTTTGTACAAATTACTTAAAGTTACCCAA